TATCAATTAAAAATTTGTAATTAAATATTATATAATATAGGATTTACAAATAATTGATATATAATGAGACTGATGATCGAAAAAATTCTATACTTTATATTATGCCTTTTTTGACAAATCTACAGTTAGAACGAACAAAATAAAGTTACAAGAAAAAAATGTAATAAATAATATGAAAAATAACTAAATTGTGACACGTACTAATTATGAAACAAAGTAACAAAGAAAAATATTATAATTAATATAACTAAATATAAACATTCTAAAAATATACTTGTTGATGTAATCGAGCGAGTTGTTAAACGCTTTTTTGTTTTTTGTCCTTAATAATTTTATATATAAATTTGAGGTGATAGACAATAGTTATTTGTATATTTATCGACGTGGGTTAGAAAAAAAAAATCTTTATTATTCTAATTTTAAATAACTTTTTATTTACTGTATTAGTTTTCTTTTAATATAATATATAAATATCATATTGAACATATAAAATAAGAAATATTTTAATTATTTAATATTGTATATGTAAGAAATGTAACTCAACTGGTAGATTAATAGGTAATATTGACATAAAATAACGAGTGATTTATGAAAAAAAAAATATAGGAACTAAAACGTTCACGCGTTTAATATATTTTTAATAGTAAATTGTAAAAACATTTAATCAATAAATACTACATAAAAATTAATGTTGGAGAGGACTACAAAAAATTGCTATATTGCAATGAAAAACTTAACGATAAAGTATCTACTGAAAATTCCAACGAATATATTGCTTACATTGGGAAATTTCATTGGCTATTCAAAAAAGTTCAAATTAAATTACATGAAAATTAGTGGATTTAAAGATTTCAATTACCTGAATTTTCATTGGAATATTTTTTGGACCATATTTCAATCGTTGAAAAAATTTTCATTAGTATTGTGCAAAAATTCAATAGAAGTTTCATTAGAAAGTTAATTGCAATGATAGATCCAATATACATTTCATATTGGAGCATTATTTAGTTAATAGAAAAAATAAACCATCAAAATAACATGTCATTGCAATTTATAAATTATACTTTACATAATTTATCACCCATTTGTAATACATTTTATATAAATATGTACAATCACAATAAGGTAAAATATATTTAAAAACCAAAAGACAAGATTTTTTTAAATTGAACATAAGAAAATCATTATATTCTTGTAGTAATTTTTGTTGAAATTTTATCATTTTCTTGTAGTAAAAGTAGGACTCCAAATCTATGAAAAAACAATATTGCATTATATATAATATTGTGTGCAAATATTATTATGAAATTTTTTGATATGATAGAAAATATAACACGTTCAATGTAATTGGCGTTTAATTTATTAGTATTATAATTAATTAAATAATGGATAAGAATGATGAGAAACTTATAACTCCCCATAAATCTAAAAGTAAAAATACTGATAAAATTATTTAATGTACAATATCAGTTGGAGCTGGCTAATGAGAAATATAAACTTAAGAGACACATATATTTTAATTAGAAATTTTAAGCACATAATATATATATATATATATTTCTTTGAAAGTGGGTATGTTAATCTTAAAATTTTTTAGTTAAAATTTTTATTGCTTTCTATCATTATTTTTTTTAATTTTTGAAATACTTCATATTTTTTATTTGTTACTCTTTTTATATGTAATATATCACACTATTTCTTTTCAATGATGTTTGAGTTGACCAATATACTAAAAATAAAATAAAAATAACATAATTATTTATATCGATATAAAATAACATGTATATATATCAGTACTAATTTAAACCAATAAGTTGATCTAAAAGTATATTATATAATAAATTTTATTATCAAGTTAAATCAATTTTATTAAGTATAAAATAACATAATATAAACTTGTGGTATATTTTTCGTACATAGATTTGAAACAATTTATATTAAAAAAAAAAGTAAAAAAATAGATGTAAACTTATAACTATTCCCAAATTTTGGCTAGAGCGCCCAAATCCGATATATATTTAACACGAGTTTGTCGTAATGCCGAAAATATGGCGAATGCACCTTAGGTACAAACGAAGAGAAGCGAAGTGATGTCATATATAAAAGGAAAGACTAGGTCAGGGAAGGGAAATGAGATAACATTAGCTATGTGAAATAAATGAGTTGTACGTTCAAATATTAGTCAATTACTGCTTGAAAAGGAACCATATAATGGTGCTACCCTATAGGTATTCAATGATTATGAAAATGACTTATAATATTTTATCAAACATTGGAATTTTTTTATTTGTATAAATAATACATTTTTATCAAATATATTAAATTATATTTTATCTTATCTGATTATATTAATTGTAGCCTAATAAATAAGATAATTTGATAACATCATTATATAAATCACATACAAAAAATAATGCAATACATATAAATGCGCTTTAATTACTTAGCAAATGAAATATTATTTGTCAATAGAATAAGAAATAAATAATATAATAGTAACGCAATGAGAACAAGAAAACGTGCAAATTTTCTCAGATAAGTATGAATACCAATATTTACAGACAAACAGTTGTTGAAAATTACTACTTTTTTGTTGCTAGCGTTTAAATATATGGACTCTGTAAGAAATTGATTCTCATAAATAATGATTATATATTATTTATTTTATATTTTAAATAATAAAAAAAATCCTAAAATTTGTAATACATAAGTATATTTTAATCATGACTCCATAATAATAAATTTTGCAGATGACTAAAAGTATCGTAATATAATATAATTCTAATTCTTCGCTTGTCAAATATTTTTTACCAATGATATGCTTTTCAATATTTTCTCATTGTTTTGTTTGTTTTGTTTTATCATTGTTGGGGTAAAGAAATGATCTTTATCTTGAATTTTATAATTATTTTGTATGATGAGTAATGTTGGACAATAAAAGCATTAAAGAAGTTATTAGACACACAAATCATGCATATTCAAACAAAAGGAAAAGATATTACGAGAAAAAAATTCTAAAATTATTGCAACAACCATGATAGTCAATGATTTTCAAGTAATAGATTATATTGTCCGTCTATATTCCAAATAAATAAAACTGAAAATGAAGTGTAGGAGTATCAAAACACTTTTGGATGTTCGAATGAAGTTGTCACTTTTTATAGAAATATTTATAATCTCATTGGTGTATTATGCTCGAACATATGTACAATTACTTTAGATGTACTTTCATGTAATGTATGATGATACATGTAACCAAGATTTTGGAAAGTCAACTTTTATTTTGAGATAAATGCATTCCACCTCATGGGGCGATGCATCAATGGGGTAGACATCAATATGTCTAAAGACAAAGGAATGTAGTAGTTCATACAATTATAAAAAATATCAACAATTTTAATGACACCGTTAGTTATTACATTGAAATATTAATGCTTTGTTAGTAGAAGTACCTTATTATAAAGATCATACGATCATGAAGTTTAACTATATGTTGGGTCAGAATGTTTCTTAAGTGCATGTGAATAAATTGACGTTTTGCCAAATTAATTAAGAGGAATTTTGCTATAGTATTGATGTATTGGACTCCAATGGTTTATGAATGTTTCTTATGAGAACGTCAAACCAAAATGAAAGAAAATCTTTGTGTTTATTTTTTTTTTATATTTTTGTTGGTGGTTGTAAAACTTTATTTCACTCTTTTTATATTAGGACATAATTCAAAATAAAAAAATCACACATGAGTTCATTTGTTCTATATTTTACTTCATTTCTGCAATGATATGTTTATAAATAAATTAATTTATTTTACAAACTTATTCAGTTAAAATCATTCGACACCACGTGCATCGCACGTGCACTTTAGATTAAAAAGAATTGCTCAATTTTTGTTAAACTCTCATATTTCCCGGACATTTTTTTAAAATATATGTATATGACAAAGTACGAAATTTTTCAAATTCAATATCAAAAGCCCAATGAAAACTAATGTTACGAACTAGATTTATAATTAAAAAAAAAACAAAA